AAAAAGGCTGCCGTCTCTAATTTGTGCTCAGCTTTTTTCTTTCGTGGAGAACGCGTTACATCGGATAAAACCTTCTTCGTTTCTCGTCGGGCGGCTATGGGTCATGCTTCGTGTCGGTATCTTAAACAGTGTGTTGTCAGCGGGTCTTAATGTGCATGCTCCTGTTTCATCTATCAACTAAATACTGGGTGAGGCAATTCATGAACGTAACCACAAGAGAGCGATGGTAACTGGAATAGTAAATTGCTCGAGCTGACTGTCACTTCATCCTCTTCTTTGGTAGAAGCATGCAAATGCTCAGGTCGCTCCACCAAGTAGGAAGTGGAAACACCGTGAGTATCTGGAGAATGCCGATTTGATGCTCATAGGGGATATGTATGGTCAGGAGTTTTGTGAAGTTCCACAGCGAGGTGATTTTTCGCTCATTTTTCGATAATTTCGGCACCAGCAAAGTGGTCTAGTCGCAAAAAGTAGCGGAAATCTGAGCTGGGCTTTTCTATGTCTATTTATCGTCCTTTCAATTTCCCTCCTTCATTTCCTCACTTCATTCTTCATTCCCTGCATTTTCCCCTTTTCTTCCGTCCTGTAGGACGGGGATCCCCATAGGTGGAGAAAATTACCCATTTCTGGGTAAATTGGGGGTGTCACGAGTAAGGGAGAGGTTCAGGAAATTAATTTTGACGTTATGCGTGAAAATAGTAAGTTGTTGTAGCGGAAGGGAGGTAATGACTGTCTGCCGTACCATCGAACGGGGTAATGGAACATCTGAACTTGGGGACCACTGCTCTAGGAGAAGCGCTCTCGAGCGCCCCTTCTCCCGTTCGCTATGGCTATGCATCGATGTTACTTCAAGTTATAGGTATAGTTTAGCTGTAAGCAAACGATATCATAACATAAGCTGAGAAAATGGAAAAAACAAGTTAACAATTTCTTCAGGTGCCTTTCACTATGAACCCTGANTGTTGAGGTGTTTCAATGTTGAGGTGTTTTAATGTTGAGGTGTTTCAATGTTGAGGTGTTTCAATGTTGAGGTGTTTCAGTGTTGAGGTGTTTCAATGTTGAGGTGTTTCAATGTTGAGGTGTTTCAATGTTGAGGTGTTTCAATGTTGAGGTGTTTCAATGTTGAGGTGTTTCAATGTTGAGGTGTTTTAATGTTGAGGCATTTCAATGTTGAGGTGCTTCAATGTTGAGGTGTTTCAATGTTGAGGCGTTTCAATGTTGAGGCGTTTCAATGTTAAGGTGTTTCAATGTTGAGGTGTTTAAATGTTGAGGTCATAGTTGTATCGGACAGAATAGTTACCAGAGAAGCCAACGAATCTCGTTTGAAGATTATGAAGTCCATCTCGAATTAATTCAGCTTCTTCTCGAAATGTATGTTATGCCCAGTGATTAGATTTGCATATTCAGTTTTCGTTTGCGACTGTGAATAGGACGAGTACAATATTATATATATATATTTATACTTAACGTACACATCATTTCTCAGATGAACACAATTTTTCTTCTTTTAGAACACTGAGACCACAGGTATGAGTGTAAAATGCCGCTAGATCAGCGGAAACGATAAACATGACCAGAGCGATTTGCTATCCGCTTAAACACTATCACCAATCAACAAACCCACCAATTAATTCCCTCTCCTAGTACTATTTTTAAAGCAGTCATTACCAAAAAAGAAAAAGGGCCCTTCACCATCAACACAAATAATACAGCTCACAATTCCCAAACTAATCTCATCCCACATTTACTCGCAAATGACTCCACAAATCGATCTCGTCATGTTACCTAACGAAGATGATAATTATCACCATCAAAATACGAACAATGAGCGTACTGCCGTACATTGACGATGAACGAAATGAGTAAAACAAATCATTTTAAAAACCAACAACAAAAAACTTCGAAGATAGACATACACAAACACAAAGTTGATTACATACACGTATTGAGCAGGAAAATTAGATTTGAAAAAAAANAAAAAAAAGACAAAACAATAAACGTTTGAAATGAAACAAAAAAATATCCATAAACAAATAATACATCGTTTACAATAGTAGTAATGATGGTAACGATAATGATTATGATAACAATATTAAATTCGCGATGGGAACAAGTCAAAACCATAACTGCACAACTAGCACAACGAAACAAGTGTGTTGCAAACTGGAACTAGGGGATTTCGTTCAAATGATAACAATCTTTGTGCTGAGGATCAGCGATATATGCACAAACGTGCCCTTCATAAAGGTGTTGGTGGAGCACACACAAACACATCAGAGTGCAAACGAACACAAATATCAACGTTATCCATCAACAAAGTTTCAATTAATGCAGCAATAACAATATTAATTAAGAGATGCCAGAAACCGAAATCGTTCATGTCAACACGCATACCAATTCATTTTTCTTGGTTTTTCATGTAGATGTTCGATATAAGACATAAGAAGAGTTTATGAAACCGATAATTATTCAATATGAAACAATCGGATTAGCTTTTAGATTTTAAAAGATGAAGGTGATGATTATGAAAAATCATTTGAGAATAAACGATATCAAACGTTCTAGGAATATGAGCACTAAAAATAGTAGTAATAATGATGAAAATAATGAAAGTAGTAATAACGCTGACAACGAACATAATAACAAAACCAACAACAACGAATACACGCAGCCAGTAGCATATACCATCAATTTGAAAGAAAACTTCACCTCACAGTTGATCGAAACTATTCCAAATGATAAGACAAATATCACTCGATCAGAAACAATCTGACAATGAGAATGATCAAGCGATCGCCTCAAACGATCAGTTCAGAAGAGAAACAAAGCAAGCTCAATTGATAACAATGATGACACAATACGATAATATCAACCGCAATAAGAACAACCGTTGGGTTGGAATCACTATCAATGCATTTTATCATGACCGTCCAACACCAACTCTCAACTATAATTCATTCAATTAGTTCGTTTCACCATAAAACATCACGTATTCATTTCAAATTGTCAATGACTGATTACCTCATGAAAATATTGATACAATTATGGTTCCAGTCAACTAATGTAGCTTATGTTCAACGAAAACCGCTGCCATATATCACATTACCTCCCTATCATGCAGCTTATCATCATTATTTGTCACCTATACTCGCCGATGCTTTCTCGTTTCTTTATCACGTCCGTCGTGTCCCCATTATTCGATGAGGAATATTCCAAAAATCATTATTGATGGATATTATCAGTACAGCACAGTATCACACTTAATCGATTCAAACCGTCAGTTCTGTCGACCATATTACACAAACAAAGTCATATAAGTGCCACAGCGTTCTGATCCAGAAGAAACGATAACCTTCTTGAAGGACACCATGACATATTCGTTTAATATTCACAATCCACTAAACAATACTGTGCTCACATCAACCAGCCAATGATCCTTCACTCAAACTGAAAATTTATTACGTTCAGTTAAACACTGGCACCCTTAGTGTATATAACACGTGTCTGAAACAAAATTTTGAAGGCGTCTTCATTTTTGACTTTGTTGGAAGGAATTTATTGTCAACTTTATTCGTTTCATGAATGTCTACCTGTCTAGACAGTGGCATATTTCATTACTATACAGTCTTTCTTTGCGCACGCAGATTGTACCCCGTTGAGCTAATTCACTCAGTGCATTATCTTCATTAGTGATCGCGGTGATTAATAGAGTACTCGCCGAAAACATACCCAATATGTGGCGCGGTATTGTTATTGTGGGCTAGTTTAGATGAGATATAGAATGCAGTGCCAGTATGGGGTGGAGATGAGGTTGGTGACGAGATGATACAGGCTGGAGACGTGACAGTGTTTGGCGATGCTGGACCCATCGGTTGAGGTGACGGGACGGCTTTTGCTGGTTGAGCATGACTGCTGACAGACGACTGGCTATTTCGAGTGGTGTAAGTTGGATGTTGACGATGATAGGCGTCCGCAGATGATTCGATGACCGCATTACTGACACCACATCGGGGTACAGCTGCCACTTCAGCACAGGGCGCTGCCGTTATCGGCAAGCGTTTTCCAGCACACATATTTTCAGTCCTACTGATGCAATTCCGACTCACTGCGTTCGGTTTCTTTGTCATATCTCCAACATTATCTAAAAACGAAACAGTATAATGATAAATCGAATTAACGTTGTTTCATGAACGTTGCACTGCTTTTCAAAGCTCTTTACATACTGCCTAATCAGAACCAGTAAAGTTGAGAAGTTCCCAAGTTTGCAACTGATACAATGCATGAGGTTGAAAAACAGGAATATTTAAACAAAGCGATTGTTGAACTGGGACTAGGGAACAGAACACGAAGTGGGATGCATAAATCACACTGAAAAGAAAACAATCGAGCGAAGCGACTAACACACTAACGTGTTTTATCGTTAAGCAGATTCGAACTGATACCGCCATTCATGCTGCCACTAATAACCGCCACTGGTGTCTGCAGCTTAGTGGTGTCGCTTAAACGTGCGAAATGCCTCCTAATCTCCGGTACTACCGCAGGAGAGGTGGACAACGGGGGTGACATGCTCTCACTGTCTGGTGATGACGTTATAGCAACAAGATTGTCTGATGATTGCAGATAACAATCTGAAAACAATCATCGTTTCGAAGTTTTTTTTTACTATATCGCATTTAACAAACCTTATCTTACTAAACAACAAAGGGCATTCAACAATTCTCAAAAACCATCCGGAATTAGGTAAGGAGAGTCTTTGAATTGCACTGAACCAAAGAGCACGAAACTAATTATTCCATTTGCATCAAATAGATAATTTCGACAGGCATCAAACTTTTTTTACTAACACAATTTTCCACTAAATTGAGATGAAACTGAACATTCCTATCTGATGAGATGGTATTATTTTCTGAGAATGAATTGGAAGTTTCCTCGCCAACTTTGGTTTCCATATAAAATCAATTTTTGAAAAAAATTTTTCAAAGATATGAATTGGAAGGAAGAAAAATTCAACAGAAACTAGTCAAATATTTGCCGTGCGATTCGACATGACGAACGAAGGGAGAAAGAGGTGCTTGTCCAGTTGAAACAACTATTCTCACTAGTAACAACTGACAAAAATATCGTGAACGTGCTACAGACAATTACAATGGGTCATGATCACGGTGCTTCTATCAGGTTTTGTTTGCTGACTTTGACTGTTTATAACGCAACTTTATTTACTCAACGGTTTTCTAAAGTCACTGCTGTTTGGTCATATTGTGAAGTTCATCACTGATGATTACTTAATTCGTCATTGACATTACTCACTGCTCCTTTTTTTTTGAGAAAAATGTACCCCATACATTTGCTAGCGCAGTGATTACAATGTGAACTGGACGTGAACTTTCTTCGGAGTTAAATTACTTTCCACATTGTCATAGGACCCGATAACTACTCACGGAATTTTTGTATTTTAATGGTCAAACTAGTGTGATATTGTATCACATCCATAAGCAACATTTATATGTATATTAGGTGGTGCATGTCATAGATGAAGCAAATGATGCAAAAAATATCCTACGAAAATAGTTGAAATTTAACGTGGACAGAGACGAGATTCAAATTTCTCAGTTTTACTCAATATTCAATTGTAACAAACTGAAACAACAACACACTGACAGAAATAAAAACTAAAGACATGCAAAATTATTAGATGCACAGATGAAATGATAATCTTTGAGAGCACCATAAGGAATGAATATGGATGTGACAATAACATTACAAAGGATGATTCTGGTGCGCGCAACCCTGTTTGACAGCCTGTCCTACTCATGTCGCTGAAACCAACTTCTCTAATCCCTCCTAATAACAATTCTGAAGTCAACTGGTTTATCACTGTTTTTCAAGTACTATACATATAAACGACAATTTCAAAACCACTACGCTTATCGAAAGTTATAACATTGCTACTCCGTACCACTACACCGCCATGTCGAAAACCTTACCATTTTATGATCTCAATTCGTTCCCTTTTGGCAATGTGAAAAAAGATCTTACAACTAGTAGCAAAGTCACTGAACTCAAGGATAATCACCTTCATAAAATTCGTTCTAATATCGAAAAGAAGCAAACAGCCGTCCACCCCCAAGAGTGCAAACAATCATCATCAAATGGAAATGATGGGGTGAGAGGAGGTACGATTAAACGCACTGCTCGCTGGTAAAGAAGTGGGTGAGAGTGTGGCAGCACTAGTGATCGTTGCATCGTGGTAATGTCGATTGTTTGTTGTTGCTGCGCTACTGTAGGTAATCGTCTTCGGCGACTTCAACGGTGCATCACTGCCTTCCTTGATACCATTCAGTGGTGATATACTTGAGTTTAACGGTGGTACCTTAAAGTAACAAAACCATTGCAATTTATCCCAGGCAGCAATCAGGATAAGCGTTTAAAAGATGACTCCTATCGGAACACCGAATTCGAGTGGTCGCAGAACAATTGTCAATAAAAAACAATACTTTTGATTCTAGTGAGGAAACGAAGAAACCAAAAATGGCATAGCAAAGGTCAGTAAATGCACCTTAATCCGTGCACCGCTCCCCGCAATCGCCAGTTCCAATCGTTTTGTGTCGACACACCCAACTGACGACACACCATTGTTGCTGTTATCACTATTACCATTCAATTTACCAACACTCAACCGTTTCAGATTCGCTTCAGTCACTATTGATGTTGCTAACTGTGCGATGGTTGCCGGCGATGAGCCTCTTGCACGTTTTACACCGTTTACCTGAACCATTCAACTAATCGAAATAGTCCACTAATGTCAGACTCATCAACAGAACACTCATCCATCTACCAATCAAAAACGATCGCAATTTCAACAAAACAACAAATCAATCGCTCTACAGCACAACACATCTCAAATTCTCACCCGTATTCGCTGATTTTCAGTGACAGCAGTGCCATTACTATTTATTGTTGTTGAGGTTGCCTTATGCGAATCTGTAAGTGTGCGATAGATGGAGGAACGATTATTTGAAGTATTCAACCGTTTGGTGGCTGTTTGTCGAAATGGTACTCGTACTGGTGATATTGCAGTTAATGTGGCAGTACTAGAGTTGTTACACAGAGCACTACGTACTGATTGGTGGGGATCACTGATCTGAAGTGGTATCTGGGAAAGGGGCACCGATATTGGTGCTTGTGGGGATTGTTGCTGAGGTTGGGGTAGAACGATTGTTGCTTGAGGCGGTGATACTGGTTGCTGGTAACCTCCCGCCTCCTCCACTCCAACCTGAAGTGGGCTTGGATTGGTTTCTGAAGGCGGGAGATGACGGTAAAAAATTGGCAATTCTTCGGTGTTTTTTGGAGTGTTATGATCGGTTGATTGCGATGCGGCCATAATCGACGTATGACTCGCCGATATGGTTGTTCCGATTCGCAACGAAGAGGACGCATTCGATGCCGCCGAGGCTGACGTTATTCGCTTATCCTTCAACAAATTCAACATCAATTCTCATCCAATTAATGCACAGAAAAATCTCACTCGTCACAAAATTGGTGCTCAATTTAAATTAGATAACTGAATTCTCGAGTTAATAATAACCTGATGTGACGAAGGCGATGACGACGATGGCATTACGAGAATACCATTCGAGGATGCGTTCACGGCCATCAACGAACCACCTCCGTTCGCAACAGCACCGTTCAGGAGCATATTCGATGGTTGTTGAACGAATGCATCATTCGGCTTTGATGTTCGATTACTCGACATCAGATCTCCTCTGCTACCGTCTTTACTGCTATTAGCAATACTAGTGCTGTTGTTATTACTGATCAAGTTATTGGATGCTTCATTCATCGCTCCATTTTCGCGTGAACTAAGAAAAATCATCTTGCAAATCCAACTCAATTTAAACGATTAATAACACAAATGAGATCTGTACTGATCTCAAATCATAAGTACAAACCCCATGAGCACATTTCACACACATCAATGAATTTTTCGTAATGCGCATAAGATGAACCGTCATAAGATAAACAACAACTCAAAGAAACACTCACCTGGATGTTACTACAGCTGAGCATGCATGATAATAACGACTCGTTACTGCTGCCGCTGTCGTATTTATGTTATTATCTTTCAGGGGTGACGTACGAAAGTTATTACTACTATTCGCTCCCCTCTCTCCCAGAACGGATCGTTGGTGCGATATTGAGATAGGTACAGATGCTCCTGCTGGAGGTATAGACAGCGACGGGTTCGTCGCATTCGAACCACCCGTATCTGGCCAATACCGTTCGTTAGTGCTGCTGTTCATGCTCGCAATATACTCTTCATACGCTTCTGGTGCGCTACCCTGAAATCAAGTTCAATTCAATCTAAATGCAACAATTCCCCATTCCTTCACAGATTTTCTAATGCGACTGCATCATCTTATTACATTAAAGACCCCAGAACCCGTACGATAACAGCATTCAACAATCATACTACCCTCTTTCCATCAGTGGCTAAAACACATTCAAGCAAACAATTAACATAAACACACATAGAATAACCACAGACAAATAAAATTTACCGTTTGTAAAGAATGCTGCGTAAACGGCTGTGAAGATGAGGACGCTCCCTCAAAAATCCGCATCCTAAACAATTCGTCACGTCTCAAATAATACTCTTCGTCTCGTTCTGCTTGCAACCGCTCTTCATCCGAGTCTACCGACCAACAATCAGAGCAATCACTTTCCACATCAGCCAAACGACCTTCATATGTCCTTAAATACAAAAATGAGCAATCAAAATAACCCCTATTATATCAATTTCAATGAACATCGTCCATTCATACAATCCATACTTAATAATTCACTGCCAACAACAACACCAATCTCGCTCAATCGAAACGAACAAAAAACACCAAACAGTTTAATGAAAGCGATAAAATTAACCTTGTAAGATCGATATAAGGATGCGGCAAGTCATCAGGTGCTCGTTGAGATGTAGACGGCGGAGAGCATTGGAAGCGGTCGAATATAATCCTGAAAGAGCCGACAATATACGACTTATAGCCAATACAATAATAAGTAAAGCCGAAGGTAATGCACTCACCTCCCTCCCCTCCCGACTCGTCGACGCGCATAACCAATACAACGTCGTGCACCTTTTGTGCTCAACGATGGCAGGTAAGTCTTGTAGAAGCGTAATGACGCATCTTTGCACGTCAACGCAGACGGCTGTGTGTTTGATGTTGCCGAGTGATTAATGGCAGATGAGCGCAACAGCGATGGTGCATGTCCACGCAATCGCGCTTCCAGTTCTGAATCAAATCCGTCAATAACATCCAAAATTTAAAATTCAGCTCCTGCTAAACATACACCTAGAATCTCGATTCTAACTTTTCCGACTTCATGCCGAATAAATCAAAATATATCACTGCACATATGAATTACGTCAGTGACACTCAACATTTACTTATACCGATCGGAACTATAATCGTAAATCATCAAACATATGCACTGTTTTTGCTGGTAGGACAAATCAATTTGCGGCGCCCAGTAACGAACCTTCAGCAATATTGATATCACCAGTGGCAACACTCGATGGCAGCACATCCCTATAGACACAACCTCGCCGCCTTTTGAATGCGTACCGTCCATCCGCAACCGCTTCTGCCTGCACCGCATTCCGTTCCGCATCTGCGAGCGATGAGGCGCGTTGTGAGCATGCTCCTGAGAGTGCTGTCGTTGACATCTGTGGCCTATTCCACATCTACAAAATGCATTCAATCGTTTCATCTTCCAACAATATTCTGAACTCAGTTCACTGCCTCTAACAATTTAAAAACAACGAATTCATTCACACCAACCTCAGCCACCTTCTTCAGCCACATTCTGTTCAACGCATCCTTCTCAGGTGAGTTGAACGCAGCATTCCGCGCATGTTTCTTCTTTTTATGACCATTCACTTTCGATTTGACTGATACAGTCGTGTTATTTGCTATTTCATCCTACAAACAACAACCACAGTCCATCATTGAACACTAATCAAACACTCCACTCGATCCATTACTACGGACGGATATAAGGTATTCACCTGAGATTGATCAGAACTAATCACAGCTAACGGATCTGGTTTCAACTTCGACAACAACTGATTATAATAATGTGAACCAGAATCACCCAATCGCCAACGAGCATCCAATATCATTTCATCTAACTTCACCATCTCAAGCTTGCCTTTCTCTCTGAAATTCAATTACTACCATTCAGAATGAACTCGGAATCTGTTCCCTTCACTAAAAAATCAAAGGGAGTATCTAAATTACATCAATCAACAACAACACAACAGTGAAAGCTCTACCGTTTGGTGGTCATATCGAAGAGAAGCAACGCCCGGCTCAGATCACAACCCAACCTCATCATCTTCTCGTACGAATCTTCGTCGTTCTTTCGATTACGTCTTGTTTGAATCTTTTCAGCACGACGTCTAAACGCCACATAGGGATTCAACGAGCCGGGTGTATCACGGCGATTATCAGTCTTCACTCGAGGTATCAATGACGCTATATTCCTCTTCGCTGCAGCATCCTAAATTCATTGCTGCTGTTAGTCCACACGTAAACATTTATTTATGCGCACAAATTCAAGAACTTTCTGAAGAAAACTTGTACAGCAGTGTTGATGACACGAAGAATTTTACACTTTTGGTTTATTTCAATCAGGATCTAGTGAATGAAACCTGAAGAATCGAAATGAATTGAAACATTTCGTAAGATATAATGACACACTTTTCTCTTCTGTAACCAGTAATCGTAGACGTCATCAATGAGATCCTCATCGAAGTCCTTCAGTAACGAGCGAGCCTCTTTGGGTTGACATATCTGCATATCGCTGCTTGCACCCTCCAGCAGTTCCATCATCCGTTCGAATTCATCGCCCGATAAGTGACCTCTTTCCGAGATCCACCTTTCATCCTCGCTGTCGATGTCATATTCGGCTTGCTCTCGGTCGATTGTCAACGAAGCTGAAATTTCTTATGAATAACAACAGTAATAATTCATCGCTTCTCTTAACTATCTCATGCCCTATCTCCTTGAAACTCGATTATCAGCAAATCCCCACTCACGTCATTTCATTCATCCCATATTCATTAATCAATTCCCACCAAACAATATTCTCTCGCCAAGAGATATGATGACCTATCGCCGAAGATTATGTCACAGATAGTGAATTGAATGAATATCATATTATAGCCATATGTCTCTCAATGCTGATGGATACGAAAAATGATATCAATAGCAATAATACTGACATTAAACGGATAACAACAAAAATAATAACAAATGGCCGTCATCCTGACACGACCCCTCTTCTCTTTTTATGATAAACAACAGATTCGCATCAGATAGTAGTAACCATTCCCTTACCCATTCAGTACAATACCCAAATTACGACATTTACACTAGTCTTGAATGTTAACCGTTATTACATTAAATATATTTCCTTTATCAATGTTCTTCCTTACACTTTACCATTTTTATATCTGACATATAACTCTCAATGAACGGTCTTATAACATTTCCCATGCCAGTCTTCACCGCGCACCGAAAAATATTTTCAAATTGTGCATGAAGCGAGACGAGTAAGATGCATTCGGTTACGAATGCTCATAGAAAACAATGCCAAGTCTAAAATCTTCGCAAATATACTTTCACAACAAACTGATCAACACCGCCATTCGCACACCGATTTCATACACACCAAAAAATATTCTCCACTGTAAACAAGAGTGACGTTATCACGAAAAGCAACGCCAAATGTCGGTGAAAGTAACGACAAAAAGCACTTCGAGTTATAATGACAATGAAATGTTGATAGAATTCCGTTGCAATGACGATTGCAACCTTATGAATATTTTGCAATGATTAAAACATCTTCTTCAGTCCCCAACTAGATTGAAGATATTGAAACAGTTTTTCACAACTCT